TTTCAGAGTGATGCAAATTGCGTTTCTGAGGTTTAAAAATATAAAAATTCCTGGGGGACAGAACCCCCCCCCCCCCCGCCCCCCTAGGTGCCTCGCGCATTCGCCGCTCGCAAAACTAGATTGTACATCCGAAAACTTTGACTAATGTACGAAAAATCCTGGATCCGCCCCTGGCTCTATTTCCTATTTTATGATTTAGATTATGCGTAGATCCAATAAACATGACTTTTGTTTTTTTCCTATGATATTTTAGTTTGTTTTTAGCAAGCCATTTATGAATACTGGAAAGGTCCATATTCAAATTGTCAATCAGTGTATCGTAATCATGCGAAGAGGAAGATATCTGAGTGTCGTCGGCATAAAGACATGGGGTTGTCCTTTCTAGAATATCAGGCATATCATTAATATATAGCAAAAACAATAATGGACCAAGTATGGATCCTTGCGGAATTCCGCATATTATTGTTCTTGCAGAAGAAGATTGATCATTAACAGAACACACTTGCTTTCTATTCCTTAAGTATGATTGGAACCATTTTAATTCAATGTCGTGAATTCCAAACTGGGTTTTAAGCTTCTCCAATAATATCTCGTGATTCACCGCGTCAAATGCTTTACATATATCAAGAAAAACAACTCCATTTATTTTGCCTTCATCCATGTCTTGTAGCCATTGATCACACATTTGTATAAGAGCACCTAAGGTTCCATGTTTTGGTCTAAACCCGGATTGAAATTTAGACAGAAGCGCATGTTTATTCAAAAAGCTATATATTTGAGTAAAAACTTCCCCTTCGAATATTTTACTTATTATGGGAAGAATTGAAATTGGTCTATAATTTTCGCATTTACGCTTATCCTCAGATTTGTAAATTGGTATAACTCTAGCCAATTTCCACTCATCTATATAAATACCAGTTCTAATCGATAGGTTAAATATAAAAGTTATAGATGGAGCAATAAGGGTTGATGTCAGTTTTAAAATATTCACAGGTATTCCATCCATACCTGTCGCTTTTGAGACATTTAGTTTTTGTAGGCGTTTGGAAACACTATCTATAGTAATATCTGCGAAGTGAAAATTTTCTTTAGGAAGAAGCACAGTACTTTCATAAATTACTTGATCATTTAAAGCATCAGTGCTTTGGCATGCTGATTCAGCAGCCATCTTCATTCCAATATTTATAAAATATTCATTTAATGTTTCAGTAATAGATTTATCATCAGAAATAATATCATCATTTACTTTCAGTTCATTAATATTTACATTCTTATGCTTCCTTCCTAAGAGCGAATTTATCCAAGCCCATCCGCTTTTACTGTCTCCCATTTGAGAGCTTGCCTGGATTTTATCACAAAAGTACTTAGATTTTGCTTTCCGCATGTTTATATTTACTTCATTACGTAGTGTTTTATACAATTCTCACTGTAACTCCGAATCATATTTTATGGCCTTTTTTTTTGTGATAGTCCCTTTTTCTCATAAGTTCTTTAATTTGAGGATTAATCCATGGGACAGGGTTATTCCTTATTCGCTTGTGGCGCAGAGGGGCATGTCTATTAAGTGCATCTAATAATAGTGATTTCCAGACTTGCAAACATAAATTGGGATCTCCAAACTGATAGACCATCTCCCAAGGCAATTGAGACACATCCCGAATGAAATCATTTTCGACAAAGTTTTTAAAGTTACGAACCTGACGAATTTTTTGCCTTCCATTCGGTAGTGTAAATTTTCTCACAGCGTAGACAAGGCTGTGATCTAAAATTCCCAGGTGAATGACACCTGATCTGGAAATATTTTCTGGTCTATTTGTTAATATTAAATCAATTAGTGTAGCTGATTTAGGAGTTAGCCTTGTAGATTCTTTAATAAGTTGGTCGATCTGATACAGAGAACATAAAAATTGCAACTTACATGTGTGAGGGTCAGGTATAGTTTTACTGACATCACAATTTAGATCTCCTATGAGGATTAGCTCCTTATCTTCATTATCACATTTTGCTAAAAAGCTTGCCCAGTAATCAAATTTATTCATAAGAGAATTTGGTGGTCTATACCATGTGCTTATTAGCAGTGATTTATTGTAGGGTAAACTTAATTCACTTTACTCAGAGGGAGGAACTCTTTACTCAGAGGGAGGAACGCTTTACTCAGAGGGAGGAACTCTTTACTCAGAGTGAGGAACGCTGTCCTCAGAATGAGGAACGCTGTCATCAGAGTGAGGAACGCTGTCCTCAGAGTGAGGAACGCTGTCCTCAGTGTGAGGAACGCTGTCCTCAGAGTGAGGAACGCTGTCCTCAGAGTGAGGAACGCTGTCCTCAGAGTGAGGAACGCTGTCCTCAGAGTGAGGAACGCTGTCCTCAGAGTGATGAACGCTGTCCTCAGAGTGAGGAACGCTGTCCTCAGAGTGAGGAACGCTGTCCTCAGAGTGAGGAACGCTGTCCTCAGAGTGAGGAACGCTGTCCTCAGAGTGAGGAACGCTGTCCTCAGAGTGAGGAACGCTGTCCTCTGAGTGAGGAACGGTGTCCTCGGAGTGAGGAACGCTGTCCTGAGAGTGACGAGCGCTGTCCTCATAGTGACGAACGCTGTCCTCAGAGTGAGGAACGCTGTCCTCAGAGTGAGGAACGCTGTCCTCAGAGTGAGGAACGCTGTCCTCAGAGTGAGGCACGCTGTCCTCAGAGTGAGGAACATTGTCCTCAGAGTGAGGAACGCAGTCCTCAGAGTGAGGAACGCTGTCCTCAGAGTGAGGAACGGTGTCCTCAGAGTGAAGGACGCTGTCCTCAGTGTGAGGAACGCTGTCCTCAGAGTGAGGAACGCTCTCCTCAGTGTGAGGAACGCTGTCCTCAGAGTGAGGAACGCTTTACTCAGAGTGAGGAACGCTGTCCTCAGAGTGAGGAACGCTGTCCTCAGAGTGAGGAACGCTGTCCTCAGAGTGAGGAACGCTGTCCTCAGAGTGAGGAACGCTGTCCTCAGAGTGAGGAACGCTGTCCTCAGAGTGAGGCACGCTGTCCTCATAGTGAGGAACGCTGTCATCGGAGTGAGGAACGCTTTCCTCAGAGTGAAGAACGCTGTCCTCAGAGTGAGGTACGCTTTACTCAGAGTGAGGTACGCTGTTCTCAGAGTGAGGAACGCTTTACTCAGAGTGAGGAACGCTTTACTCAGAGTGAGGAACGCTGTCCTCAGAGTGAGGAACGCTGTCCTCAGTGTGAGGAACGCTGTCCTCAGAGTGAGAAACGCTGTCCTCAAAGTGAGGAACGCTGTGCTCAGAATGAGGAACGCTGTCCTCAGAGTGAGGCACGCTGTCCTCAGAGTGAGGAACATTGTCCTCAGAGTGAGGAACGCTGTCCTCAGTGTGAGGAACGCTTCCTCAAAGTGAGGAACGCTGTCCTCAGAGTGAGGAACGCTGTCCTCAGAGTGATGAACGCTTTACTCAGAGTGAGGAACGCTGTCCTCAGAGTGAGGAACGGTTTACTCAGAGTGAGGAACGCTGTCCTCAGAGTGAGGAACGCTGTCCTCAGAGTGAGGAACGCTGTCCTCAGAGTGAGCAACGCTGTCCTCAGAGTGAGGAACGCTGTCCTCAGTGTGAGGAACGGTGTCCTCAGAGTGAAGAACGCTGTTCTCAGAGTGAGCAACGCTGTCCTCAGAGTGAGGAACGCTGTCCTCAGAGTGAGGAACGCTGTCCTCAGAGTGAGGAACGCTGTCCTCAGAGTGAGCAACGCTGTCCTCAGAGTGAGGAACGCTGTCCTCAGAGTGAGGAACGCTGTCCTCAGAGTGAGGAACGCTGTCCTCTGAGTGAGGAACGCTGTCCTCAGAGTGAGGAACGCTGTCCTCAGAGTGAGGAACGCTGTCCTCAGAGTGAGGAACGCTGTCCTCAGAGTGAGGAACGCTGTCCTCAGAGTGAGGAACGCTGTCCTCAGAGTGAGGAACGCTGTCCTCAGAGTGACGAACGCTGTCCTCAGAGTGACGAACGCTGTCCTCAGAGTGAGGACCGCTGTCCTCAGATTGAGGAACGCTGTCCTCAGAGTGAGGAACGCTGTCCTCAGAGTGAGGGACGCTGTCGTCAGTGTGAGGAACGCTGTCCTCAGAGTGAGGAACGCTTTACAAAGAGTGAGGAACGCTTTCCTCAAAGTGTGGAACGCTTTACTCAGAGAGAGGAACGCTGTCCTCAGAGTGAAGAACGCTGTCTTCAGAGTGAGGAACGCTGTCCTCAGAGTGAGGAACGCTGTCCTCAGAGTGAGGAACGCTGTCCTCAGAGTGAGGGACGCTGTCTTCAGAGTGAGGAACGCTGTCCTCAGAGTGAGGAACGCTGTCCTCAGAGTCAGGCACGCTGTCCTCATAGTGGGGAACGCTGTCCTCAGAGTGAGGAACGCTGTCCTCAGAGTGAGGCACGCTGTCCTCATAGTGAGGAACGCTGTCATCGGAGTGAGGAACGCTGTCCTCAGAGTGAAGAACGCTGTCCTCACAGTGAGGAACGCTTTACTCAGAGTGAGGTACGCTGTTCTCAGAGTGAGGAACGCTTTACTCAGAGTGAGGAACGCTTTACTCAGAGTGAGGAACGCTGTCCTCAGAGTGAGGAAAGCGGTCCTCAGTGTGAGGAACGCTGTTCTCAGAGTGAGAAACGCTGTCGTCAGAGTGAGGAACGTTGTCCTCAGAGTGAGGAACGCTATCGTCAGTGTGAGGAACGCTGTCCTCAGAGTGAGGAACGCTGTCCTCAGAGTGAGGAACGCTGTCCTCAGAGTGAGGAACGTTGTCCTCAGAGTGAGGAACGCTGTCCTCAGAGTGAGGAACGCTGTCCTCAGAGTGAGGAACGCTGTCCTCAGAGTGAGGAACGCTGTCCTCAGAGTGAGGAACGCTGTCCTCAGAGTGAGGAACGCTGTCCTCAGAGTGAGGAACGCTGTCCTCAGAGTGAGGAACGCTGTCCTCAGAGCGAGGAACGCTTTCCTCAGAGTGAGGAACGCTGTCCTCAGAGTGAGGAACGCTGTCCTCAGAATGAGGAACGCTGTCCTCAGAGTGAGGAACGCTGTCCTCAGAGTGAGGAACACTGTCCTCAGAGTGAGGAACGCTGTCCTCAGAGTGAGGAACGGTGTCCTCAGAGTGAGGAACGGTGTCCTCAGAGTGAGGAATGCTGTCCTCAGAGTGAGGAACGCTGTCCTCAGAGTGAGGAACGCTGTCCTCAGAGTGAGGGACGCTGTCCTCAGAGTGAGGAACGCTGTCCTCAGAGTGAGGAACGCTGTCCTCAGAGTGAGGAACGCTGTCCTCAGAGTGAGGAACGCTGTCCTCAGAGTGAGGAACGCTGTCCTCAGAGTGAGGAACGCTTTACTCAGAGCGAGGAACGCTTTACTCAGAGGGAGGAACCCTTTACTCAAAGTGAGGAACGCTGTCCTCAGAGTGAGGAACGCTTTACTCAGAGTGAGGAACGCTGTCCTCAGAGTTAGGAACGCTTTACTCAGAGTGAGGAACGCTTTACTCCGAGTGAGGAACGCTGTCCTCAGAGTGAGGAACGCTGTCCTCAGAGTGAGGAACTCTGTCCTCAGAGTGAGGAACGCTTTACTCAGAGTGAGGAACGCTTTACTCAGAGCGAGGAACGCTGTCCTGAGAGTGATGAACGTTGTCTTCAGAGTGAGGAACGCTGTCCTCAGAGTGAGGAACGCTGTCCGCAGAGTGAGGAACGCTGTCCTCAGAGTGAGGAACGCTGTCCTCAGATTGAGGAACGCTGTCCTTAGAGTGAGGAACGCTGTCCTCAGAGTGAGGAACGCTGTCCTCAGAGTGAGGAACGCTGTCCTCAGAGTGAGGAACGCTGTCCTCAGATTGAGGAACGCTGTCCTTAGAGTGAGGAACGTTGTCCTCAGATTGAGGAACGCTGTCCCCAGAGTGAGGAACGCTGTCCTCGGAGTGAGGAACGCTGTCCTCAGAGTGAGGAACGCTTTACTCAGAGTATGTATGTATGTAAAACTTTATTTCAATACGCTAACCTCGACAATTATTTACAACTGGTTTCCACGAAGGGCGTATACACACAAAGAGCTAAATGTTAATTATATATGGAACAAAATATGTAAGAATCCCACCCTAAAATATTATCATCTTCCTCCCAAACCTCCACCCCCTAAACAAGTACCCACCCACCCTCACGCAAAACTAACCCCCTCCCGCCCACAATCTATATTGTCCTCCCATCATTTGGCCCTGGAGAAATTAGCTTATCATCTGCTTAAATGCAATTTCGCCATTGTTTTAAATGACGTAATTGACTCAGCCGCCTTGACATCTTGCGGCAGACTATTCCATAGAATTGCTCCACTGTATCCAAATGTTTTCTTTAGAAATTCCGTTTTCGGTTTTTTTAACGAGAGATCAGTTTCGCTATTGCGTAAATCATAAATATTCTGCGATGCATTTCTCCGAGAAAAAAGATCTTTAAGGTTTGGCGCAGTGTGGTTCCCCAAGACTTTATACATCAATACTAGCTTGTTTTGTTCTCGTCTCCTAGCCAGGGTTTCCCAGCCTAATTTGTTTAGGATTTCAGACGATCTTACATCGTAGTCAGCTCCGGTAATCACCCTTGCTGCTCGATTTTGGAATTTTTGCAATTTGTCTTGAAGTCCCAAACCACAGTTATCCCACAGGGGAGAACAGTAATCAAAATGAGGCTGAATTAATGTTTTGTAGACATCATGTAAGGTTTTGTGTGGAACATAAGGTTTTATTCTTTTAATTGCTCCTATTCCAGCGCTAATCTTATGGCATACAGAATCAATATGTTTCTCCCAACTTAATTTTTCATCTAGATTTACACCTAGACATTTAAATGTATTGGTTTGTGGGACTGGGATTTTGTTAATCTCAACGGCTCTATTTCCTATTTTACGATTTAGATTATGCGTAGATCCAATAAACATGACTTTTGTTTTTTTCCTATGATATTTTAGTTTGTTTTTAGCAAGCCATTTATGAATACTGGAAAGGTCCATATTCAAATTGTCAATCAATGTATCGTAATCATGCGAAGAGGAAGATATCTGAGTGTCGTCGGCATAAAGACATGGGGTTGTCCTTTCTAGAATATCAGGCATATCATTAATATATAGCAAAAACAATAATGGACCAAGTATGGATCCTTGCGGAATTCCGCATATTATTGTTCTTCCAGAAGAAGTTTGATCATTAACAGAACACACTTGCTTTCTATTCCTTAAGTATGATTGGAACCATTTTAATTCAATGTCGTGAATTCCAAACTGGGTTTTAAGCTTCTCCAATAATATCTCGTGATTCACCGAGTCAAATGCTTTACATATATCAAGAAAAACAACTCCATTTATTTTGCCTTCATCCATGTCTTGTAGCCATTGATCACACATTTGTATAAGAGCACCTAAGGTTCCATGTTTTGGTCTAAACCCGGATTGAAATTTAGACAGAAGCGCATGTTTATTCAAAAAGCTATATATTTGAGTAAAAACTTCCCCTTCAAATATTTTACTTATTATGGGAAGAATTGAAATTGGTCTATAATTTTCGCATTTACGCTTATCCTCAGATTTGTAAATTGGTATAACTCTAGCCAATTTCCACTCATCTATATAAATACCAGTTCTAATCGATAGGTTAAATATAAAAGTTATAGATGGAGCAATAAGGGTTGATGTCAGTTTTAAAATATTCGCAGGTATTCCATCCATACCTGTCGCTTTTGAGACATTTAGTTTTTGTAGGCGTTTGGAAACACTATCTATAGTAATATCTGCGAAGTGAAAATTTTCTTTAGGAAGAAGCACAGTACTTTCATAAATTACTTGATCATTTAAAGCATCAGTGCTTTGACATGCTGATTCAGCAGCCATCTTCATTCCAATATTTATAAAATATTCATTTAATGTTTCAGTAATAGATTTATCATCAGAAATAATATCATCATTTACTTTCAGTTCATTAATATTTGCATTCTTATGCTTTCTTCCTAAGAGCGAATTTATCCAAGCCCATCCACTTTTACTGTCTCCCATTTGAGAGCTTGCCTGAATTTTATCACAAAAGTACTTAGATTTTGCTTTCCGCATGTTTATATTTACTTCATTACGTAGTGTTTTATACAATTCCCACTGTGACTCCGAATCATATTTTATGGCCTTTTTTTTGTGATAGTCCCTTTTTCTCATAAGTTCTTTAATTTGAGGATTAATCCATGGGACAGGGTTATTCCTTATTCGCTTGTGGCGCAGAGGGGCATGTCTATTAAGTGCATCTAATAATAGTGATTTCCAGACTTGCCAACATAAATTGGGATCTCCAAACTGATAGACCATCTCCCAAGGCAATTGAGACACATCCCGAATGAAATCATTTTCGACAAAGTTTTTAAAGTTACGAACCTGACGAATTTTTTGCCTTCCATTCGGTAGTGTAAATTTTCTCACAGCGTAGACAAGGCTGTGATCTGAAATCCCCAGGTGAATGACACCTGATCTGGAAATATTTTCTGGTCTATTTGTTAATATTAAATCAATTAGTGTAGCTGATTTAGGAGTTAGCCTTGTAGATTCTTTAATAAGTTGGTCTATCTGATACAGAGAACATAAAAATTGCAACTTACATGTGTGAGGGTCAGGTATAGTTTTACTGACATCACAATTTAGATCTCCTATGAGGATTAGCTCCTTATCTTCATTATCACATTTTGCATTGCCCAGTAATCAAATTTATTCATATGAGAATTTGTTGGTCTATACCATGTGCTTATTAGCAGTGATTTATTGTAGGGTAAACTTAATTCAATGCAGACCATCTCAAGTTTATCAGGGATTAGATCTATTCTATCTGAGAATGATATGTTTTGGCGAACATATAGAACCACACCTCCACCAAACCTATTTCGATCTTTACGAATTATATTAAAACCATCAATATGTATCTCATTATTTGAAATCTGATTATCAATTTTGGACTCATTAATTGCAAGAATGTCAAGGGCGTTATTGTTAAGGATTAAGCGAATTTCATCCAGATGTTTCATTAAGCTATTTACATTTAAGTTGGCTATCTGCAAACCTTTACTTTTGGCGATTATGTTAATTTCACTATCTATGCCTAATAAGGAATTGCTTGGCACATCTTGACAATTAGTGTTTTGTTCTCGCATCAGCACTGCAAATTACCGTGGAGGGGGGTCATATAAAGTACAATTAATTTTAAGGAAGGCGATAAAGAATTATATTTATATTCTGTTAATTGTTAAGTTTGAGAATTTTAATCAAACTTAATTGTTTTAAGATGTTTTAGTATAATTACATAGGTGATTATTCTCCACGCTAATTGGTTGCCGTTGAGGTGATTGTAAGGCGATAATCACCTATATAAAAAAGCGATTTTCGAAATAGCGGCGAAGCCGTTTTGTCAATTAAATGACGAAGAAATGTGTATTTTAATTTTTTTTCTAAGTTATTACCTATGAAATTATACTAAAACGATTATTACCTTCAGGACCTATGATTATCGTAAGTAAAAACTCTACTTCGTCTCGGTTTTATTCACCGATAATCACCTCGCCTTTGTCGAATAATTGTTACTGTAAATATTAGATATTCTGTGACGAAATGGAGTTGGGGTGTTAGCCGTAAAGGCGCAAAGCCCGGCAATCCATGCTAGTGTTTATGTGTGGAATCGTATAAAGCATGTAACTCTTAAATATTGACTATTCTAAAAACTTATATTGGGAAAACGTGAATTGATTCCGAATTTCCGATATTTCATCTATATATTTTTTTTTCAAAGATGTGTCGCATTGTCAAATCTCGAAGAGAAATAAAATTCCCGCTATTATATGCATGTTTGTTTGACCACGAAGATTCCGATAACATTACAAATAATACTTTTGTTTGTGGAAACACCAAGTAATTTTATTACTGCATAAATACTTGGTGACTTACTGTTTCCACGAACGAGAGTATTTTTAATTGTTTAATCGTAAGAATTAAGCCCAGGTCACACTACACAACGATAACGATACGATAACTTGGTCAACAATTTATCGTTATCTTCCGATTGAAAAAAAATCGCTTGGGTGAGCGAGTTTAAACTAATCGTTATCGTTATCGTCAAAACATAATTTTATCATTTCCGTTGTAGTATACTTCCGATCCTAGTCTACTCTACTTTCATCCTAAAAGATGTAAAACCATAACTTTTCAACGATCATTCTTCTCACGCACGTGCAGAGTTTGGAACAACCTACCTGACGAAATGCGCCGCATGGATACATCTTTATTACGCTTTAGTAGTTTGCTTAAAGAACATTATTTGACGGCATCTCAAACAATTTTCAATTCGGATGATCCAAGGACATGGAAATCTGTGTGTCTGAAGTGCAATTCAGCACGCATACTTAGGATCTCCACGTCATGTTGTAGTTAGTGCATGTATTCTCTCACTTATCGGGACCACAGTAATTGGCTTCACACGCTGTTGTGGGCACCCGGCCACGAAGTATTCATTGACTAGTTGTTTTCTGTCTTGTTTAGTTCTTAAGTGTGTGTGTATATATATGTCTCTATTGTGGCAAAATAAATAAATAAATAAATAAATAAAAAATAAATAAGTAGTGTGGACACTAACACTTTTCCAATTATTGTGCGTTTACAATTTGTCGTATCGTTATCCTCAGTGAAGTGTGACCGAGCCTTTATTTCGGTTTTTTATTAAAGTAATTATTTATTTTATTATATATTTTTTTTTTGTTATATTATTAGTTTTACTTGGTATTTCCACAAACAAAAGTATTATTTGTTTTATCGCCACGAAAACCTACAAAGAACATGACAAATTTACAATTTTCCGACGGGTCTCAACAATAGGGAAGCCATCCCACCCCTGGCCACGGCGCTCCTGAAACACGGAAATTGAAATTCAGTGTGGAACTATTTATTCTGTCACTTTAGTGTCTATGGTTTTGACTTTGCTTTGTCCCTAAAAGACACTTGACCACCGCATTACAGAACTGCATGTGTCTGGATACATGTAATACTTTCCGCGAATTATTATATATTCATGTAGACAACAGCAGCCACGTGCAGTCTAGCGACTGCCTATTTTTGATGCCCGTAAATGATTCAAGTGAGTTTCAAGTGATTTCTGCAATACCCATAATGAGCTGCCCCAACTGTGGGCAAAATATGAAATTAGTTCAAATCTGATGGTAGAGCAGAAACAGTTCTTCCCATTAATATTTTTGCCGGTGGAAGTTACATGACAGTTAGAAAACACTTAGTTAAATATTGCCGCGTAATTTAAATCAAAACTTTGAGATGAAGCTCAGGAAATACGAAAAATACAATCGACTTACCTTCATGCTTCAAGAACTGAAACAAACCAATCAATGTAACAAAATCAGACAGTTTGCAATATTAAACTACAGTGCACAAGTCTCGTTGCGTACGTTTATTCACAACTTTGGTGGGAAAGTTACTTCCGGATTTATAACAGCGAAGTTTAGAAATTAAGTATTATTTTATCCTAAGTATTATTTTATCCTATCTAACCTTTTTCAGCTGAGTTTCCATTCATCGACAAAGTTTTTATTTGTATTTGTATAGTGTTTGCATATCTGCATGGATAATTTGTGTGATGAGTTAAAAATGCATGACCGTCAGTAGCGTCACAGTATATGAAAACTACAGTAGGGCCACTCAGTGTAAAAAAGTGTCCACATTGTTTACTGGCTGCCAACCTAATTTACATATTGGCAGCCAGTAAATGGCAGCAGTTCACTATAAAATTGTATTACAGAGTAATGATTTGGCCGCGTAAAACACCTGGGACCTAGCTTAAATAATTCCCACTTTTCTCTCCCCTAAGTGGCCCTAATGGTTGTCTCCCTATACTGTGGTAGCGTAGCCAGCCCGACGATTTAGTCCCGCTATGCAAATGTTTTCGTGTTCATTGACTGTGAAAACAATCAATTTCTAAAGAAATGAATAATTATAATAATTTTGAATTTGCATAGCGGGACTAAATGTCAGGCTGGCTACGCCACTGATGACTGTTATGCAAGCGAAGCGTGTGTTCTCAGTGACGACTACAGTAAAGTAACAAAAAATCATTCTGAAATAAAATGCAAGAAATAATTAAGCAAAAGATATTCACAGCGTCACGGTCCAGTTAATACGAATCCAAGCACTCAATTACGATAATATTGTACGTGTTTAAGATCAAATTTCGGCAAGACACAAAAGGATCCCAAACATCTGAAATCGTCGTCGAATGACTATACATCCTAGCCCTAACAAATTAGGCATCTGTACATTTCTAAAGAAAGTCTTTAATCTAAAATAGCGTTGTATAATTGTACACTCCGTAATATGTTAAGGTGAAAATGTTCTCGAGTGTGTATGATATAATTTCCATACCCAGCGTAAGCAGAAAGATAAAGTCTGCCGCGGCTGGGTCTTGAACCCGCGACCTTCGAATTACTAGATCGACGCTCTACCAACTGAGCTACACGGTCAGACGGATTTAAGACTGGAAATTATGAAATTACACAACTCAACATAACACTTGCATGCAGAACTAGTATTGTTCGATGCTGAATTAATATAAACGAGTATGTTTATGACATTCAGTATATATTTCATAATTTCCAGTCTTAAATCCGTCTGACCGTGTAGCTCAGTTGGTAGAGCGTCGATCTAGTAATTCGAAGGTCGCGGGTTCAAGACCCAGCCGCCGCAGACTTTATCTTTCTGCTTACGCTGGGTATGGAAATTATATCATACACACTCGAGAACATTTTCACCTTAACATATTACGGAGTGTACAATTACACAACTCAACATAACACTTGCAGAACGGGTGTAGATAAAAGGCGGAAGGATAAAAAGCGGACCGCGGAGGGCGGACCGCGGACGGCGGACTGCGGACGGCGGACGGCGGAGCATTTTAGATACACATGATTACCACGGCAACTAATTATAATACCCTAAATTAAGTATACCAGCCTTAGATCTGTGAAATGGATATGTTTTCACCCGTTCGAATTTTTAGTAATGGAATTTTTTAATCAGCATTCAATACGTATGTATGATAAGAGGAACTAGGTGAAACTTTTGGAAATTTTGGTGCTTCTGTATATAACTGCCCTAACAGTGCCATTGAATTAAAATATTATTAGGCGGGACTATTACATGACATTCACTTGCTGTCATTTTTATACTTTAAATTGTGCGACTTATAATCCCGTTTTATTTACTAAATGGCTAACACGTAGCCAAGGTCCATTCATGTGAGTGCTTACACATTACTATTTCACTGTATATAAATGTAGAACGAAATTATAACCTTCCCTAAGCCCTTCAAATATACATATAATAGAATATACAATATTTACGCTGCCCAACTTACGTTGCCCAAGTTGACATTACACATATATACATTTTTCAAACAGCTTGTTACACTGATTACTGTGTGACATTGACATATATAACATATCATATTTACATAAATATGTCAGGAAAATATCAATAACTCAATATAGTTAAAGAAATGACAAAAATATACAATTGTAAATATATACAATTGTGAATGTTTGCATGTCCAAACTTTATAAAAAATTATTTTAAATCACGACCCATAGCCTATACTCAATACCTGCTACCTATATGTGCCCACGAAATAAAAACAATGTTCAAGAGCCTTGAACGGCAGAAAAAATATCGAGCAGCATTGGGAGGTTTAAAAAGTTATTGGGCTCAATGAAAATCCACCTCATCAAATTGTCCGCCCCTAATGCATATTATTATATGGCTTTTCAAAATTCTCTATTCTGATTGGTTGACAAGCGCTCCGTAAAAACCCATATCCGGACCGTGGTCCGTATTTTCCGTATGTGGATCGATGTCCCGGATGCCGTTTATCTGGCGGGAAATTTTTGCTTTGCAAACAAAAAAAATTTTTACTTTTCAAAATTTCCAATTGCGCTTTACAGATAAAAATTTCAAATAACCAAATTGTTTTTGATTGAGCATGCATGCCTACGGTATATATTGTTACCCAGTGAAACTGACTATAGCCGATTTAATTCGCGCGAAAAGCATATGTTCACAGAATCAGTTCAGCCATATAATAAACCGATTATTGACCTCGCTTGTTCGGTCTGTACTGTGATCCATACCATACCATACTACATACCATACAAAACTGTACTACATACCATAAAAAACCTCGGTCTGATATTTCACACCTCACGCTCGGTCGTAATGAATCATTTAAATGCTGATTAAAAAATTCCATTGCTAAAAATTCGAACAGGTGAAAACATATTCATTTCACAGATCTAAGGCTGGTATACTTTAATTTAGGGTATTATAATTAGTTGCGGTAGCAATCATGCGTTTATAAAATGCTCCGCGCTCCGCCGACCGCTGTCCGCCGTCCGCGGTCCGCCGCCCGCTGTCCGCCGTCCGCTGTCCGCCGTCCGCGGTCCGCCGTCCGCTGTCCGCCGTCCGCTGTCCGCCGTCCGCTGTCCGCCGTCCGTCCGCCTTTTATCTACACCCCTTGCAGAACTAGTATTGTTCGATGCTAAATTAATATAAACGAGTATGTTTATGACACTCAGTATATATTTCATAATTTCCAGTCTTAAATCCGTCTGGCCGTGTAGCTCAGTTGGTAGAGCGTCGATCTAGTAATTCGAAGGTCGCGGGTTCAAGACACAGCCGCGGCAGACAACATCTTTCTGCTTGCGCTGGGTATGGAAATTATATAATACACACTCGAGAACATTTTCACCTTAATATATATATATATATATATATATATATATATATATATATATATATATATATATATATTTATCACATACTTGTACCTTTATCAGGTAGGAAGCAGCGGGTCATAAAAAAAAATCGTCCCGGATATCGTTTTTTGTCCCGCTAAATTTCGCGCCTTGTCAAAACAAAGATGGCCGACTCGAGGTTCGTGTTGGTTAATGTCGAGAGTTTATCGAAGAAAACAAGAACGATAATACAAAATGAAAGACTTAAATTGTATATTATCTATATGAATGGTCTATTTATTTTCTAAAATCATATTTGTTCAGTAAATGATGAATTGTTTTGAATTCTAAAATGATCCTATTTTTTCAAAACTGTTTACTTTTGGGTGTCAAACCCTGATAAAGGTACAAGTATATAATAAATAGGTTCTTGTGCTCGGGATTCGGTGATATCAGTTTTATTGCTCTGAGGACTATATCACAATTGACAATTGTGATATCATCCCTCGAGCGATAAAACTGATCTCACCTCATCCCTTAAATGATAACCTATATATATATATATATATATATATATATATATATATATATATATATATATATATATATATATATATATATATATATATATATATATATATATATATATATATATATATATATATATATATATATATATATACGTATATATATATATATATATATATATATATATATATATATATATATATATATATATATATATATATATATATATATATATATATATATATATATATATATATATATATATATATATATATATACATATATATATATATATATATGTATATGGTGCTACTTTTAAAAGCCATGTTGAAGGGCGGTCTTTCTGCATTAATCATCGCTTTGATTGTGACTCGGAGGGTATAGTGTATTTGATTAGTTGTAAATTCTGTGGGTTGCAATATGTGGGGAATACCATAACACCGTTCAGATTGCGATTTAATAACCACAAGAGTGCATTAAATAGATATGGGCGGGGGCAGAGAAATATTTGTGGGCAACAATTGTATGCCCATTTTTGAGGGGAGGGACATTCAGGTCTAAGTGATTTTTTAGTGCAGGTTATTGACGTCACGGACGTTAATAACCCCACTGAGAGGGAGAGCTTTTGGATTGAGAAACTAAATAGTTATGTCCCACGTGGGCTTAATTTAAGGGAAGAGGTTTAATTAATTTATGCATAGCTAAACGTTAGACTATTTAAGTAAGAGACGGAGATGATGTAGCGTTATTCTGAAGAAGGGGCTTGTCCCCGAAACGTAAAAATATAATTTATTTACTTTGAAGATTTATGATTTTTTGATTTTTTGATATTTATAAATGAAGATTTTTGGGGGCTGGCTCTTGATATATATATATATATATATATATATATATATATATATATATATATATATATATATATATATATATATATATATATATATATATCGAAGGATATTGAAGAACTTTCAGTTTTTCATATCTGCCATGCACACATTTTGTTTTCCTTTAATACGACCAAACTCTCTTGAATCTGACAATTACTGATACACTTTAATTTGTCCTTTTCATTCAAATGAATTGTCCTGCAATGATCAGCCTATTTGTTATAGTCTGTATTCATCGGAAGCAAAATTATAAGTAGATTACTGCTTATTGCAGCAATTGTTACCGAGATAAAAGGCTCGTAGATAATAGACGCAACTACAGAATTAAGTAGTAATTTTACCTGAAGGTAGTTGGTCACAAATTCTGTTTTCGAATGATATATCATCTATAGCAATACTCTCTGTAACATTTTCACCCCAAGATTCTCCCACAATAATGACCTGAAAAAAATAGCAAATAATTGATGGAAAACATAAGAGATATAATTTTATTAAAAGCGCGAACGTAGCTCTTAAATGAATGGGACGTTTGGATTACGTCGATGTTGAATAATTAGAGAGCTGGTGCAGGCGATGTTTTTTACAACGCTGACATCACGTGTACAATCCGTTATTTATGGCGTCAGGAATGCCAGCTTAATTTTACAGTAAATAAATACAATTTACGTTGACGGTTTCAAAGAAGAACACCTGTCTGCGTCTACATAGCTTGATTTATTTCCTCTTGGCATTCGCGAGTAAAAAACGACGCTTCCTAATATCTCTGTGTAAGGAAACACTGGTTTTCAAGATGGGGTCAAATAGTCTGTTTAAATTTTTGTTTTTTACGTCTCCCAAATGCAAAACAAACCCAAAGTCTCTGTGTTGGTGTACCGGCCCTCTGACCATTCAGCAATTGGCCAGGACGTACCGAACTTAATTCGCCACTCATGCAGCGCTTTGGATTGCCTGATTGAAACGCTCAAATTTGTTATGCTTACACACGACACGGAAACGCTTTACTCGAACACAATGAGGTCTAGTTTAAAGCAGGTGACAATAATATTTCATATAGGCTTGCTCAGCCAATTTTGTCCCACTCTATTACCTAAACTCATCGCTTTGTGTCTAGATAATAGATATCTCGCGTTAGGAGCATGCAATTTATTAACTAGATTGGCTGCGCCCTCATTTTATGTTAACCCATTATCAAGATAAAAAGCAGTCTACTTTCAGTACTTTATGTACTGTTTAATAAAGTGGCAGGAGTGTTTTATAAGGTTTACAACACTGTCTTTTTAGTATTTTCTATATAAAACATACTAACGAGGACACCACTCCAACAGATACTGCCTTATTAGAATCAATTCTTTATACAAAGAATACTAATTAGGAGTGTTTTATCAAGTTTAAAGCCACTGTACGTGAAATATAATGGTTGACATGATTTGCCAATAAGCTTATGAATTATTAATGAGTGTTTGAATATTTTACTATGTCTAACATCAGAGGGTCATATTTCACAGTAATTAACTCATCTGTTATCCAGAAGGGGAGGGAAGTCTAGAGTAAATGGGGTACTGGTGTTGACTTGTGATTCCTTTTGTATGCCGTGTTTTAAGTTTTCGAGGCTGGGTTGCCCGGATTAGACAGGGAATGCCCTATTTTCAGTACTTTAATACGTTACTCCGATGTCTAAAACTGGACAATTTTACTTCTGTGTAAATAGGTCTACTGTGAACTGCTTGCTCATATTTCACCTATCAATGCATAAGGATAAATTTTCTCTTACAGTATATTGCCTATATATTCTAGATTATTTGTAGGGGTGTGCAGTATAAAGCGTTTTTGCTGGAAAGTGAATGTGCTGCATAGTTGAAAAATATCCAGCCAAACTCAGGGTATTATTTATATATATAAGGTTCATGCTTCATTTTAAGGTTAAATAATCATATTAGTTAATTTGTTAAAAAGTGAAGACTTAAAAAGTGAACAGTCTAACACTATAGTAAAATAGATGGTAGCAAAAGCCTCACTCGCATTAGTGCAAAGGTGAAATCTGCATTTTCAAACAACCATAAAAAATCTTGAAAACTCGTTACATTTTAAGAACATGAAACTGTAACGGTAACTGGTTAGTAATATCACGCCAAATATACTCAATATTGCCAATTAGCCATATGCATGGGGCATACGAGGGCCTAATAAATAGAAGGCAGGTATTTATAATTTACTGTACATTTACTCAGTAAAATAGCCGCAACTAAAAATATCACTGTCTTACTGATGTGTCTTCTTTAAGAATAACTGGTATAAAGTTTGATCGATTTGAATTGAACATTCTTCAAGCGCGGCTTTCACCAATGTTGCTTGTTGCAATATTGCTATAGGTAGGGTCATTTTAAGGCATTATCGTAAAGTCTGGTACTCGATGTTTCCCATGGCTATGGTGGGGATTTTGGATGACGATTTCAATTGAACGTACCAGCCATTTGGTTACTCGCATAGTTTAATCTCTTAAGATTGCCCATAAACATAAAGTGTCTGTCTTCAACAAACTATGTCATGAGGAAAAAAGAAAAAGAAAAAGACAAGAAGTAATAGTAGCTGCAGCAACAGTGTAGGACATTCTACTGCTAAACAACAAAGTCGCGATTTTTATTTGCCTCTCAAGTCAAAAGCAATGCCAATTTGGTTACTCAAACCCAGGCGGATGATTTGATGATCAAGTTCATGGCAGAAGCTGTTATGTCGTTCTCATTGATTGAACAACCTACGTTTAAAGAATTTGTTTCAGGTATTCAGCCTCATCGATAGCAATATGCAGAGCTACAGTAGTAAGGCGGATAAGTGAGAGAGCCAATCTAGTGAAAAAAATACTGAATTCCTTTGTGTTTGCATACCTCGCATTATTATGTTTCATAATATAGAGTTGTTAACAATTGTTAACACCTTGTACCATTGTGTTTAATTATGGCATTGGAATGGTCTATTTATTTCAGTTATAGAGGCTTAAAACCATACGGAGTTGATTTCATTAACCCTTGAAGTGTAATGCAACCCGACGTGCTCTACTTCAGTATTTTACTATGGCTAACGCCTGAGTATTATTCTCTGTCTAACGCCAAACAATTTAGTCGTCAAATGGAGAGTACTGCCACTCAACTCAGCTTTCGCAGAAAAATTCCCCATATTTGAAACTGTTTCAGGATATTGTTCTTATTTATTTAATTTAAAAAAACAAAGGTGGGTGTGGCATGGCCAGGAACCAATTACATTATGTGTATACATTATAATGAATTTTCCAAAAATTGCAGATTCTCAAGAAGGTCTTTTTTGAAGATTCTCAAGAAGGTCTTTTTTTAAGGTCTTTTTTCGATATTTTCTCTGCGTTGTTGTTTTGCTTGGCATAAGTTGAACTGCTGAGTTGATATTGAGGGATAAAGTATGCGTTGAGCAAGTCTGCAGCTGTTTTATAGTCCTTGTCTACGCCTGTATCGGGTAAAGTGTCAGAGATTTCATCGACAGCCGGGCCAGCATAGTGTAGTAATAGGGCGCGTTGTTGTTTTGTTTCTGTTAAATTCGTCGCTATAAGGAGTCGTTCAAATCTGGTTAGCCATTTCTTCCATCGTGGATCAATGTTGCCATAGACATGAACATCAAACGGAGGAAAACTCCCCAAACATATATATGTTAGGTATATTATTATACGTGCTGTAAGCTTCAATTTAAGGTAAAATTCAACCTCAAACGCTTTGCAAGAGGCAGTGGCGTAGCAAACTCGATAATTGGGAGGGGGGGCAATATTCATACATTCGTGTTCTGCCTTATTAATTTCTTTTGAAATCAATTGTTTTCAAGGTCTGTGAACACGAATATAAGAATATTGCCCCTCCCCCAATTATCGAGGTTGTTACACCACTGGCAACAGGTTTTAAAATGTTTTTTATTCAAAACTAAACTGCCATTATCTACAAACTTTGAGTTTGAAATGTAATTATTCCAAATTCTCGCATTCAAACAACTTTGCTTTCTTTATTATCTAAAAATTTTAATATAATAAAAAAGGATAATCAATCAAAAAACACTGAAATTATATGCTGTCTTTTTCATTTAAAATATACGTTAACGATCAGCTTTTAAAGCTATAGCTATTATAACGCGAAAAATAGATCAATATTTCTAACAAAGCTACGTTCGTTAACGTCGGCGACTTTATTCCTTCGCCTTTATTTTTTTAGAAAGCTTTTGAAATATACAAAATCTTGCAAAAATGAAATATATTTGCAAGAAATTACCAAATCAAGAAATGTTTGCTATTTCGCTGTCGTCATGCAGTCGTTATAATGCAAATTTTCAATTTGACCAATCAGTGTTCGCTATTCATGACAGTCAGCCATATTTTTTAGATCAGTGAGGATTACCACCAACCCAACACTCCAACACCATTGGTCAACCACGCCCGTGATGATTGATGAACTTTAGACTTCGCTAATCATTGAACTATAAAGAAACTGGAAGGCTAACTCAAGAGAGGGGGCTGAAGCCATTGCATTTTAGTTTTTCTAAGTTATAAGCAGAAATACTTGATCGCAAACAATGGGCTATATATCAAATTGAAGCTATTGAAAAACACTATCTGGTGTAGAAATTTCAAGGCTTTAGCTAAAAGGGAAATATTTAAAAACGAGAAAAATAATTGCAGATAAATTGCCATTTTGCAGTTGTTTTTCTATTTTTCAAATATTTTTCTTTTCGCTGAAGTCTTGAAATCTCCACACCGAATAGAAATTGTCAATTGCTTCAATTTGATATATAGCCCAACGTTTGGGATCAAGTATTTCTGCTCATAACTCAGAAAAATTATTTTGCTTTCATCAAATCATAGGCCTTCATCATATGGCAGTTAGCCTTCCAGTTTATTTATAGTTCAATGTCGCTAATGCTTTCATTTCCCCTGGTGTAAATAGCCGGGCGGAATTAGTCCGCGCCGTTGGCTCGGGGATAATCAATTAACGTTGGCTCGGGAATAATCAACAAGTAAACGTCATTAATTTAAGACGTAGTGCGTTACCAATTAACCTATTACGGTAGTTAGTATATAAGGGGGGTGGATACTACGATATATAACATAACCAAAAATGCAGTAAAATTCTGCTATTTGTCTTCGCAAGTTCTGGCAACTTTTAAAACCAAGACAGCGGCGCCGCATATTTTTGCGAATGCTTGGCAACTAAGCTTTTAGCGCTTTTCGAAAAAAATACGCAATTTTTAAAAATTCTCCTCTTAATTAAAGTGTCATATAAGTTCAAGGAATAGTCTGGGCAAGAAAATATTGTTATTAATTCTGTTGTGAACACCAGAGTTTAAAAAATAGATCCAATTTTATTTACGTGAATTAAGGAACAAAAAAATTTGAGCGCAATACCTGATAAGCAACAGTTGGAGCGGAATCCAAATAAACTTGAGCAAAGTTCCACTTATGGCCATGATTTCCATAGCGATGAAAAACGAGGAGATCATTATAAGCACCATCGTTCTTTACCAAGATTTTTAAATGTCCAGTTTGGATTCCATAGAGGTAAAAATTAAACTTCATGCAAACAGATCCTATCATCCAATCACTGTACAGTTTTGCTTCGTTGTTGCGCCAAGAATCTTCATCCTTGATCTGTGGATTGATTGTCATGTAGTTATCACCAGGACCTATAAATTAAATTAAATTAAATTAAATTAAATTAAATTAAATTAAATTAAATTAAATTAAATTAAATTAAATTAAATTAAATTAAATTAAATTAAATTAAATTAAATTAAATTAAATTAAATTAAATTAAAATAAATTAAATTAAATTAAATTAAATTAAATTAAAGTAATATATTAATGGATCTTTTTTATAGAAAAGCTTCACCATATCTTGTCTTCGCAGTTTATGTAAGTACATTTTTGAAATTGTATTTGAAAAAGTCCTACTCCTCGTAGTGGAGTTTGGTCAGTCGATGACTTCAGTGTTTGTATACATGAAACTTGCTCTCTGAAGCGTTTCGGATTTTGGTTGTCTTCTTGTGTCTTTTTACTATATTCCACGATGACAATGCCTCAGTTTTGTGTTGATCTGGCTTGTTTTGCAAAATTTCAGTAAGCTTGGTTAATGCAGTTTGTTTCGTCATCTAAGTCTTTCACTTTCTGTTTGAGATCAGACGTAGTGCATTTATAGTTACTAATTTGTTCTTCAAGTTGGTCACTCTCTTTTTTTAGACTGTCGCTCCGTTTTGCAAAAAAATCCTTTTTAAACCCAATAACTGTTCATTGTTTATAGATTTGTTCAAAACCTCGTTCTCACTTCTGATCATTTTCTCGTTGTAAATCTATTCTTATCTCGTATATTTCGCCAGCAAGCTCGTTGATCTAATGCTCTAGTCTCACTTCAAACTCTCGCAAGGTAGAATTCAGTGTTTCTCTGAACCTGTCATTTGTCGTGTTGTTGTCAAGCACAAAGTCTTTAACATTGTTGTTTGCTTCCTCCGGTGCTCCGCCATTAGTAGCCTATGTCACGTGGAGTGACTTTATATCTGATAAAGCATGTGGCATTACATAATTGTTCATCCTAATTAGTATGATAACATAATGGTTCAACCTAATTAGTATTCTTTTGTAGTCGTATTTTAAGCTACTCAAAACATTCGTTGCATGTCGTGTTTTATCAGACATAAAACGCTCGGCTGCGCCTCGCGTCTTATATCTGATAAAACACTCATACTCGTGTTTTAAATAGTATATATATATAATATATATATATATATATATATATATATATATATATATATATATATATATATATATATATATATATATATATGTATATATATATATATATATATATATATATATAATTTTGTTCTGTTGGTAATAAAAACTTTTGGCAAAGTGCTCAATGGAAAACCAGAGCATATTTAAATTAAGGTACAACAAATCAACAAAATCCACTAGGCACCTTCAGATAAATCGGATTAGGTCAATTTATCTGAAGAGTGCCACATACTGTGGTACGAAACTATTTAGTAACAAAGAAACAAGGGCAAATAATGTTAGCCAATCAGCGCGTTTGTTTACATTTTGCGTTCTTGACCAATCAGAATGCCTGAAATTCAAAACATGTAAACAAAAGGAGTGAGAAAATAACACCTTGTTCTACGCCCTCGGTGACATTCGATATTAAACTTTTTTCGCCAAAACTGACAAATTCTGATAAAGCATGCTTTCTTCTTTAATTTCCTCGGGGGATTTTTTAAATTCGATCTAGAACGCGAAATATTTATGTTTGAATAACAGTGTTTCGACGCGCGTAAAATAGCA